GAGACGAAGAGATCGCCGTCGAGATCGCCGCCGTCCGACGTCACACGCGCCCGCACCTGCCGCCGGGAGAGGACTGCTGCCGGAGATCACGCGCGCGTGAGAGAGCGTAGAGCCTCCGATTTCCGATCGGTCAACGCCGTTGACTTCGCCGTGACGTCAGCTTTCCGGATTGGTCAAGTTTGTTCGATTCCGAGAAGATTTGATTTGCGGTCAACTGTCCGGGCCAGCCAGATCTACATAAATTTTAAGCAGTAAGTTTTCTTCATCAAACCTTTAGATCCGCTGTGCATAGGTTTATGTTGAATGTTTGTCTGTGATTTGTGCATATCGAGATCTTCGTGGGTTCCAACACAGCGCAGTATTCCTTGATGGCTTCACTGTTGTACTCGCCACCATTGTCGGATCTGAGATATTTCACTTCTAGACCTGTCTCTTTCTCCACGAGTGCTCTCCATCTCCTGAAAGTATCAAAGGCGTCAGATTTTCTTTTTAGGAAGTACAACCATACCTTTCTTGTGCAGTCATCGACGAACGTCATGTAGTACATCGATCCTCCAAGAGATATCACCGGTGCTGGCCCCCATAAGTCAGTGTGCACGAGCTCCAGTTTTTCTGTCTTTGGATCTCCCGGTGGTTATAAAGCTCACTCGCTTCTGTTTTCCAAGCACGCATTGCTCGCAGAGACCCACATCCACTGACTCCAACTCGGGCAAAAGTCCTCTCGACTCTAGTACTTTCATTCCTTTCTCGCTCATGTGGCCCAAGCAACTGTTCCACAAGTGCGATTGTGAGACAGCTCCTGCCAGGAGAATGTTTGAGCTGGATCCACTCGCCGTGTAAAGCGTTCCTAACTTCAGCCCTCTTGCCAAAGTCATAGCTCCTCGGCTGACCTTTCACTTTCTGTCTCCAAACATTGTGTGGAAACCGTCATTGTCCAGCTGTCCAACTAAGATGAGATTCCTCTTCAGTCCTGGAATCTGCCAAACATCCCATAGGGTCCAGCGTGACCATTTGCGGACTTGATCTGCACATCTCCCTTCCCTACATTTTTTAGGGCTTTGTTGTCTGCAAGATATACCACGCCAAAATCGGTGTATGGCTCCATGATGTCTCTGCTATTGTAAGAGTGAAACGAGGCCCCTGAGTCCACGATCCAGTCATCGAGCGAGCTTCTCACACTCAACAAGAGTGCATCCGCTGTGTCCTCCGTCGCGGCATTGGCTGTCCAGCCTTCTTTGTCCTTCCTTGGTGCCCGACATTCGCTTTTCATATGCCCAGACTTCTCGCAGTTCCAATACACCATCTCTTTCTTGCCTTTATTCCTCTCCCTGGATTTTGACCTCCCACGAATGTTCCCTCGTATTTCAGC